GAAGCTGTGCTTTTTCAGGAAAAAGCTCCATTTGCCTTCAACTGGAAATTTCCTTGCCAAACATAGAATTCAGATCTTGGGGCTAGCTTTGCTTTTATGTGGCTGAATCCAGTGTTTCTCATCTTGTGTAACACTGAAATTAGAGCACAACTCCCACCTGCACAGAGTACAGTGGTCACACAGTGAAACATGGGGAGCGACATCCCCATTCCCCACACCCAGGAAGGCCCAGAGAGCACCACCCAACACCCGCTCAGAAATTACAAGGGTGGTGCAAAACAGGAAGAGACTGCCCAGAAGGGTGGTGGATACCCCATCATTGGAAACATTCAGTCAGATTGGAAGGAGATCTGAACAACCAGTTCATGCTCATTGGGTTCCTTCCAACCCAGCCATTCTGTGACACAGGATGGTTTGATCCCTCACCTGCAGCCCTGCAGCTGGCACCGCTTGCAGCAGCACCCTTCTGCCAGGAGAGGATAAGGAAAGAAGGCTGGTGGTGGGTTCCTGCTGAAGAACCACTTGGAATAGGGCAGGGGAGGCAGGGCACGGTCTGGGAGGTGTGTTTTGCCCTCAGGGCCGTGAGCTTGCCTGGGGACCGGCCAAGTAGCCTCGGTGTGTCAGCAGGACCCAGTTCTGGTCTGCCTGTGCTGGGGGTGTTGCGCAGGCCAGAGGGGTTGGGGCTGGAGCAGTGATGATGGCTGGGACTGAGGGCAGTGGGGGGCTGCCCACACCCCTCTCCCCAAGTGTTGCTGACCCCTGGTACTGTCACAGAATCACAGAAACACAGAATTGTTAGGGTTGCAAGGGACCTCTGGTGACCATCTAGTCCAACCCCTCTGCCAAGGCAGAGTGACCTAGAGCAGGTGACACAGGAACATATCCAAGTGGGTTTTGAATGTCTCTAGAGAGGGAGATTCCACGACCTCTCTGGGCAGCCTGGCAGTGGCAGTGCTCTGTCACTTCCTTGTGTTAAGGTGAAACTTCATGTGTTTTAATTTACGAGCGTTGCTCCTTGTCCTATCACTAGGCACCACCGAAAAGAGTATGACACCATCCTCTAGCACCTAGCTTTGAGATATTTATATGCATTAATGAGATCCCCTCTCAGTCTTCTCCAGACTAAAGAGGCCCAGCTCCTGCAGACTCTCCTCATGAGAGACGTTTCAGACCCCTAATCTTCCTTGTGCCTAGCCGCTGGATCCTCTCCAGTAGCTCCTTGTCTTTCTTGTCTTGAGGCGCCCAGAACTGGACACAGCACTCCAGATGTGGCTTCACGAAAGCCAGGTAGAGGGGGAGGATCATCTTCCTCAACCTGCTGGCCACACTCCTCCCGATGCACCCCAGGATACCGATGGCCCTCCTGGCAGCAAGGGCACACTGCCGACTCTTGCTCAACTGGTCAACCCGTCACCCACTAAGACCCCCGGGTCCATCCCAGCCTCCCCCCGGCCGTGGCGGAAGGGCCGCAGGGGGCGGGTCGCGGCGGCAGGAGAGGCACCGCCTCCCCGCCCGCCCGGCACTGCGGGGCCGGACAGTGAGGAGGAGCGGCGGCGCGGAGCTCCTGGCGGGCGGGTGGAGGTGAGAGGCGCCGGGGCGGGACGGGCCCCATCCCCGCCGGGCGCTCCCCGGCCCAGCCGCGCGGGGCTTTTCCCGCTGTCCATCGTGGTGGCGGCGGCTGCGCCACGGCTGCCCCTGGCTCCGGGCAGGCTCTGCCGGTGCCGGGGCCCCACGGAGCGGAGCGGCCCGGCCTCCCACAGCCGCGAGGGTGCCGGGTGGGCGGGCCAGGCAGCACTGCCCCAGCTGTGCCGGGGGCTGAGGGGCCGGGCGGGCGATGTCACGGCGTGTTGTCGTTGCAGCTGGAGATGCCGGCCCGGACCAAGGCCCCGCCGAGCTGCCCTGCGTTGGATCCCCGCACCGCGCTGCCGCCCGCCAGCCCGCCGAGGGGGCGCCGGCCCGCCCCTGGCCTCCCGCCGTCCCCGCGCCCCGTAAGTGCCCGCCCGGGCAGGGGTCACACACCCCGTGCCCGCCCGGCTTGCGCTTGTTCGGTTTCTTCCTCCAGCAGTTGTTTTTCCAAGAGCAGTCTTTCACGAGTGTCACCGTCTGGCTTACACAGCGCTGTGGTGGTCTCAGCTTATCTAAGACCAAATGTCAAATTTATGTAATTTTTTTTTTTTTATTTTTTAGAACTCTCAAGGCATATATTTTGTAAAAGAAGGTTGTTTTTTGTTGTAGTCTGTTCCTGAACAACCCACCTCAGCTACTTCTTGTCATCTGCTTCCCATCTATTTACAAATGGATTGCTCAATAACTTGATGTAAAATCTGTCCAAAGGCTGAAGTTAGGCTAGCCAGTCTTTGCTTTCCTCAGTCCTCCTCCTCCATTCTTTTAATGGAATGTGCTAGTCTGCCTGTCTTGTCTTCTCTTGAGTTCTCAAGATGTCACTTTAATTGGCATTTTAAGCACCAAGAGTTGGTTTCATATGTGTCTGCTGACTTTAAAATCTTTAACTTTATCCTTTACTCTTAATTTACCTTTTTTGACTTTGACCTCACCTTCTGTCTCCCTGTAAAAAGCATTTCATTACATTGCCATTCACAGTTAACTTTTCTGCTGAGGGCTGAAATAAAGACGACGTTTAACACTTTGTCCTACTTTATATCACTTATCATTTGTTCCTTTTCCTCTGAAGTTATACATTTTGCCTTCTGTTTTTTTATTGTATTTATGGAACCTTTACTTGTTACCATTTATGTTCTTCACTAGTTACAGCTCACTTCTGTGCCATTGTTCTGATTTTATCCCTACATGATAGCACTGTCTTTTTAACTTTTTTTACTGTTCCTTAGCCATGCACACAAACCTTTATTTATTTATTTATTTATTTTATTGTGTAATTTTTCAGATTGTTAAGGCTCCCATTTTAGTTAAAACAGTCTTACACACTCTTTCCTCTGAATTACCATTGTGGGTTTAATGTTACCTTTCAGTTACTACTAGTTCTCTGCTCTCTTCCATCTCTTGGATTACTTGCCTTAGAGTCATGTCAGCCTGTTCTCTGAGGTTTTGTATGAAGTCTGTTATTTTTATTCTTTTACTCACATTGTATTTTCCTTAGAAAGGGAGTGAGAAACTTTGGCCAGTGGGCCAAATTCAGTTCGCCAGAGTAATTCATCATGTCCAGTTCCTATATGTGCACTCTCCTAAGGATCCTTTGGACTAAAACTGAAAGTGGGCTGCAGCAGGTTAAATGGTACTGGTAGCCCATTTCCTCATGGCTGTTTCCTTTCAATCCCAAAGTTTTGCAGCACCTTCATGTCACATGGAATGAACTGAAGTGGGCCTCTGTAATCACATGGTAAACGCATGTATGTTCTCTCATATCCAGTTATATCTCTTATCTGATCAAAATACAGCCATTCTCATTATGTTCCTAGCTGTTAATCCATCATGGTGCAGGAAATAGTTTGGTCATGTGTTAGATACATTCCAGGTCACATGATAAGAAAGAAGTCAAGGCTTTTTTCAGTCCGTACATAAAAATCTCTGTGGTCTGCCTCTGCCAGAAAGATTCACTGTTAGAATCTTTTCTTGGAATACTGACTTTGTGGTCAGTTTCACGTATTGCTTTCCATCTTTAGCATCTGAGTTCAGTTCCAGTGAGTTCTCCCCTTCTAGTCAAAGCTGAAATGAAAAGTACCCATTCTTTTAGTAGCTTCCTCCAATTTCCGAAACACAGAGCTACTTTTAATTGTGGGAGGTTGTTCACTACACATGCTGTATTCCTAGCCAGTGGCTGGGTAAAGTACCCCACTGATGATGAGGTACCATCATATCACCTCTTGCATGGTGGCTCAGGAAGAGGTTCATTTGGTTCCTCCTTTCTGTGTGTTCTGCTTTTGATTGCTCTCCAGACAGCAACCTTGTGGATCTCTTTGCTGCTTGTTAACCTGCCTTCCCTCATTGCCTCCTTCATTTTCAGAATTCATTCCTGTTCTAATATTGTGTGGGGTTTGCCTGGCAAGGCTTTGGTAGCGGGAGGGGGGTGGACTGCTATAGGAGTGGCTTCTGTGAGCAGCTGCTGGAATCTTACCCTGTGTCTGAAGGGGCAGTGCCAGCTGGGTCTGGGAGGGACCCACAGCTGGCCAGGGCTGAGCCCACCAGCGATGGTGGTAGCACCTCTGGGATAATATTGGTAAGATAAAGAAAGAAAAAAGTAATTGTGGCCACAGAAGAGAGGAGTGAGAATAAGTGAGAGGAACAACAATGTAGAGACCAAGGCCAGTGAAGGAGGAGGAGGAGGTGCTCTAAATGCTGGAGCAGACATTCCTCTGCAGCCCATGGTGCAGCCATGGTAGAGCAGCCTGTCCCCTGCAGCCCAGGGAGGTTCATGGTAGAGCAGAGAAGGAAGGAGCCCCACACCAGTGCAAGTGGATGCCTGAAGGAAGGCTGTGACCCTGTGGGGAGCCCACTCTGGAGCAGACTCCTGGCACGACCTGTGTAGAGGTTTCCTGGTAGGACTTGTGACCCCGTGGGGAACCCCTGCTGGAGCAGCTTGTTCCTGAAGGACTGCAGTCTGTGGAAGGGACCCACACTGGAGCAGTTTGTGAAGAACTGTAGCCTGTGGGAAGGACTCAAGTTGGAGAAGTGCATGGAGGACTCTCCTGTGGGAGGGACCCCATGCTGGGGTAGGGGAAGGACTCCTGTACTTGAGGAGGAAGCAGCAGCAGAAACAACATGTGGTGAATTGACCAGAACCTCCATTCCCCATCTCCCTGCACTGCTTTGGGGGAGGAGGTGGAGAATTGGGAATAAAGTTTAACCCAGGAAGGAGGAAGTGGTGGGAGGAAGGTTCTTTTTTGGGGTTTTGTTTTGCTTCTCATCATCCTGCTCCAATTTTGATTGGTAATAAATTCAGTTAATTTCCCCAAGTCAACTCTGTTTTGCCTATGACAGTAACCAGTGAGCAATCTCTTCCTGCTCTTATCTCAACTCATTTTTGTTACATTTTCTCTCCCTTGCCCAACTGAGAAGGGGAGTGATAGACCAGCTTTTTGGGCACCTGACTTTCAGCTAGGGTCAACCCACCACAACAGTGCATAACCACTTACGTCATAACTGTGGTTTCATGTGAAGACTTCCCTACTGGGTGTTGTTTTTTAATGTCTTTGTTACAGCTTTATTGCAGTTCTGTGGCCACTTCTCTCCAAACATATAGTAGTATTTCTTTTATTTTTCAGTGAGCCTTAGCCTCTGTCCTTCTTCAAAGCATCCCTTACTGCACTGAATTTGAGTCTTAAAAATATCTTCCTTTTTATTATTGCATGAAATCTGTCTTTTCCTGCCATTAGTTTTTTGTGGAATGCTGTCCCATGTGTTTGTGTCCAGGACTTATCTTACTTACCTGGTCAGAAATTTCTGTTAAGCATATTTGTGACCCATGGCCTTGAATCCTAACCCCGAGTTAATCCTTGGCCAATCCCAATACATTCTTGGCCAGACCTAGCAGTCTGACCTAGAAATGTCATTAGTGATCTCACGACTAGGCCTTGATAAATTTCCCTTGTTGTCTTTGCCGTTGGATCCATGTGGGCAGCCCATTTTCCAGGCTGACAGCTGGATGTCTGTCATGGTGGTAGCCATGACATTTGCAGCTTTGAGACTTTTGCATCCCTTCCTTCATGACCAACAGAGGATATCACAGTAATAACCTGATAAGCTTTTAATGGAGTTCAACTTCCATGAACTCACTGTCCTCACGCCAATCCCAGGCCAGTGCTCTCTACTTTCTAACATTTTCCATAGTTATCCAGTTTTTCTAACATATTTCTTCTCATTTTTCTGTTGACTGTTAGTTTCACGAGCCCAAAGTTATCTTGTGGTCTAGCATTCCAGGGCAGTGGAAGAGGGAATAGGAGAAGATGAACGAAATATTATTTACTAATGGAGCTGTATTATTGAAGTGCTTGAAGTGTTTTATATTTCTTATTGCTCCTTCTATTAGTGACACATTGCAAGACAAAATTGAAGAACACATACTTTATTAAGAAGAAAATATAATATGGAACTTAGAACCAAAGATTTTGTTTCCAGAGGTGTTTATGGATTCTGATGCCTCATAATTGTATGATGTTGCATTTTTCCTTCTGTTGTTTTCTCTTTTTCCTTTTCTCTCCCTGCCCCCCACCCCCTGAAGAAATCATTGTAGGTTTGGTGTCTTGGAAATATGGAATCAATCTCTATGATGGGGAGTCCCAAGAACCTCAATGAAACTTTTCTACCAAATGTTGCTAATGGTATCAAGGATGCCAGTAAGGTCACAATAGGCATCATTGGAAGTGGAGACTTCGCTAAGTCATTGACAATTAGACTCATCAGATGTGGGTACCATGTGGTTGTAGGAAGCAGAAACCCTAAACATGCTGCTGAATTCTTTCCCCATGTGGTTGATGTCACTCATCATGAAGATGCAGTAGCAAAAACAAACATCATTTTTATAGCCATACACAGAGAACATTACATCTCTTTGTGGGACCTCAAACATTTACTTGCTGGTAAAATTCTGATTGATGTCAGCAATAATACAAGAGTAGACCAATATCCGGACTCCAATGCAGAGTATTTGGCATCACTTTTTCCTGATTCCCTGATTGTCAAAGGATTCAATGTAATTTCAGCTTGGTCACTGCAGTTAGGACCAAAGGATGCCAGCAGACAGGTAAGTGCTATTATTTGTATAAATTTAACTTTCTTGTAGGATGCAAATGACAGGAACTGAATGTAAGCAGCCAGAACTCATGAGATTCGTCTTGCTTGACTTACCTAATATGCTGAGTAGGCCTTTAGCCTTTGTTTTAGTAGCCAATAAAATTTTCAGAGTCGAGTTCATCCCATTGTAAGACATAGACTAAGTGGTCCGAATTTTTCCCTGAGTTGCCTGTTTATCTTTAAAGATTGCAGGGGAAACATGGATACGATCTTAGAGCAGACAGATGACCTTTAGATGACTACATACAGATATGAGAGGAGTTGGGTCTTAATGTTTTCCATAGGAAATACGTTCACGTCTATCCTTATGCTTTATACAAGGATAGAGACAGTCTTTCCCAGTATATTTGAGTTTCGGTATTGGGATAAACTATTGAAAAAGATGCATAGAAATCTGAGCTCCTGATCCCAGGGCTTAGGAGTCAGCTTTTCTAAAAATACTTGCTTCAAATAGCAGCAAAGGGATTGAAAGAAATTTTGTAGCTTTTAGTTGCCCCAAAATCATAAATATTAGGAAACAGAAGGAGGCACACATGTTTCTAAGATTTGTTAGATCCAGGACTACTTGAGAACATCATGTTCAAATTCCTTCCCAGTATGTTCCCTAAATCCATCCTGCATATAGAAAAGGCATCTTTATGTTTTTCATGCTTTGCTGAAGTGATACAAAGAATTTAAGCCTGTGCAGGAATCCAGTCCTTCACAGCTTTATGGGCTCTGAGAAATACATGAGAAATGACTGGTGCAGTGTGACTACTTTGAGAGATTAAATTGAGTTTTCTGACTCTTCAAGTAGATTTAAATGGAATGCAATTAATACAGAATTAGCGTAATTTTAAAAATAACCTCGCCAGACTCCTTTTATCCCCTTTCAGAATAGCACTGCACTGTTAGTAATTCACTTCTGTCAAAACAGATCATGTTTGCTCTAATGCAGATGATCAGCAAACAGTGTTGGGTAAACTACAGCCCATTGTAAATTTTAAAAGAACCTTAAAGTACTTTGTAGCAGTGCATTTTTTTCACCGTGTAATAAACTGGTCTCTAGAACTAGTTATTATCTGGCTTCTAGTTTTTATCTTTGCTGATAAACATTCAAATCTGGAATCCGTTGAAGTCTGGATTGTGAAATGAAGTTAAAATTATTACATATTGAGAGATTACATAGTTGTCTGCTTTGCATTCTGTTTATGCTACAGCTGTTTTAGGGTCATCATTCAAGATTCCTGTATTTTTGAGAGAACTTGTGATTTTCTGAAATGCTTTTAGCCGTTGTTTCAAGTTCAATCCAGTCCTGTAGGCATTTCAGTATGGGGGGTTTCAGTGTGCAGATTGCAGGACATCCCACAGTCAGCTCATCAGTAATGCCAAGATAAAGCCAATTTTTGTTTACTGTTATGCTAAATCAATGGGCATATTTGCACTTTGGCTGGATTTTTATGTGATTTCATTCTCATCTTGGTGATATGAGGTGGGATAACAGTGTACAGTTTTAGCAGTAGTGTCATAGTTTTGATCTGAAGGACCTTAAGGTTTTTGTTGGGGATTTTTTACCTTTGAGTCTCTTTCTGTGACTACAGACAATTGCCTTGACTTTCCCAACAGGTCTATATATGCAGTAACAATGTTCAGGCTCGCCATCAAGTTATTGAGCTTGCCCGTAAGCTCAGTTTTATTCCTATTGATGTGGGGGCATTGACATCTTCAAGGGAAATTGAAAACTTGCCTCTGCGACTGTTCACCCTGTGGAAGGGGCCTGTACTGATTGCTATTAGCCTGGCAACATTTTTCTTCATCTATTCATTCATCAGAGATGTAATCCATCCATACATGAGAAGCCAGCAGAGCGACTTTTACAAGATTCCCATTGAGATCGTGAACAAGACTCTGCCAATTGTTGCAATCACTTTACTTTCTCTAGTGTATTTATCAGGACTTCTTGCAGCTGCTTACCAGCTTTACTATGGCACTAAGTATCGGCGGTTTCCACCTTGGCTGGACAACTGGCTCCAGTGTCGAAAGCAGCTTGGACTGCTCAGTTTTTTCTTTGCAACAGTGCACGTGGTGTACAGCCTGTGCTTACCCATGAGGAGATCGGAGCGGTACTTGTTCCTCAACATGGCGTATCAACAGGTGAGACACTCTTTGGGTCAGTGAGCCAAAAAGGCCTTTGCTGTGTGCATATGGCTCCTGAATACGATATATATGTTTTCTTAGTTTGTTCTAGTGTTTTCAGCACAGAATGTAATGTGTTATCTTATGCACAGCTGGTGCCAATTAAGGAGACTAAAAGAAACATCCGTGCATCCGTCAAACTGTAGTCACATTTGTGTGGTAGGGAGAGTCAAGGACGTGTCCTACTGAAAGTCCTGATAGTAATATACACAAGGAGAATGTAGGATAGACAGGATAAGAGCAACAGCAGGAAAATTCTGAGGTATGTTCCTCTCTATGTATACTTAACATATGGGGGAAGTATGTATATCATAAGTGCATTTACGAGTATGAAAAGTATAAGGGTAGATACTGTGATCATTATTACAGATACATCTATGTTAAAAAAAAAAAGGAAAAGAAAATGCTGATAGTTTTTAACATTTTGGACCAGTGGTAAAATGACTATTCATTTAAAATTCTGTGAACATAATCTCTTGCTGGCAATAGAGATTGACTCACAGTTCCCAGGAACAATTGGTCTTGCATAACCCTGAAACAATCTCTGACAAATCTGTCATCCTTTAGAAGGGGGTCTGATTCTCCTGTCTGTCAGTGAGGCAGCTTACTGTCACCTTTAAAGTAGCAGAGAAGCAGCACTGCCAGAAAAACAGCATTGCCATTCTGCCCATAAAATCTGTGGGAAAGAGAGGTGTGATAGAACAGAAAGGAAAGCGCACTAAGGAAATAAAATCAAATGGAACAAATTAACAGAGATTGGGTCCACAAACTCTGAAAGGGCTAGCACGAAAAAATGAGCTTAAGAGAAAGACAGGAGGGACAAAACTATGGAAGACAGCAAGAAACTATAATTGTTCACACTTAAAATTAGTAATACTAAAGGATCCACTGATGCTTTTACTAAGAAATTGCTTTTAATGATATTGTAAAACTCTCACTTGCTAGCATTGCTAGTGAACTTCTTTCAAGGCATGTCATATTGCAATAGTCCACCTGAAAGTGGAAAACAGTTTAATATCCAAGCTTCTTAATTGTTAAGGTCCTGAGTTGTTTCTTTTTTCTGGTAAAGTTCTGTAATGAGAAACCTGAGATTAGCTCAGCTGGTTAGAGCCTGGTGCTAGTAACACCAAGGTTGTGGGCTCAATCCCTCGGTGAGCCATTCACTTAAGAGTTGGACCTTTTGGGTCCCTTTCAACTCAGAATATTCTGTGTATCTGATGTCAGTAGTGAAAGAGACAAACTAGCTTAGACTAGGGAGATAAAGCAAAATTGGGAAATTATGCTAAACTATTTCCAAATGTAACAAACTAAAAACAAATTGCAGGTTTATTCAATTTGTGTACAGAATTTAAATTTGCAGGGTCTGAAGAATACATCTGCTTTTTGAATGTGCAGAATTATCTGGTTCTATGACAGAATTGTTGTAAATGGCTTATAATGTTACAGTTTCATTTAACATCTAAATTTCCTTGTTTAATATATTTTTAATCTAGCAAGAGCCAGTCCCAGCAGTAAGGAAATAGTTGTTTTTCCCTGAGACATGAGGAAACCTCTGAAGTATTTGACCCCATTTTATAGTTGTCCTGTGACTGTGGACTTTTAAGTCTGCAAAATAACTTCTGTTGGTATTTTTAATATTCTGTAGAATAAAGTTCTTCCTTTTTTTTTTTTCATCAGGTTCATGCAAATGTTGAAAATTCTTGGAATGAGGAAGAAGTGTGGCGAATTGAAATGTATATTTCCTTTGGAATAATGAGTCTTGGATTGCTTTCTTTGCTGGCAGTAACTTCCATCCCTTCAGTAAACAGTGCCTTAAACTGGAGGGAGTTCAGTTTTATTCAGGTGTGTTACTTTTTGAATAATGGGGGTTTGTTGTTAACAAGAATTCCTTGATCATGATCATAAACAAAAGCAAATTGCTACGTGACAAGAGCTTTATTTTCCTCTCTGGTAATTTAATAAAAACAACATATCCTTATTTAGCAAATATATTACCATGAAGGCACATAAAGCATTTCATAAATGTTAGAATAGGACTTTACATTTTACACTTCTTGGTCTTAAATAATTGATATAGCTAAGACCAAATGATCACTAATCTATTCCTTTTCCAGTGTTAAAATTTCTTGCTAAATTCAAATTAGATAAATTTGGACAAACTTGCTAAAGACAGTGATACTGATGAGATACTACTATATGTAGATGCACACAACTATTAAAATTGAAGACTTAATTTGTCCTACAGGATTTTTATTGCACAGCTCTCTGACAGCCATGGTGTCATTGATTTCATTTTGCTTCCCTTCCACTGTGTGGGACTTGACACAGCTCTCAACTGCCTTATTTCCATTAGCTGAAAATACCCATTAGTAAAACATGAAGTTTTGTTTATTAAAATCAGTGGCTTTTCCAGGCTCTGGCACACCTTCTGCTGCCTTCCTTCCTCAGATAAATATCTACAACAGGCAGGCCTAACCAACATAAAATACTGAGAAATATCAGCTTTAATAAACAGTTTAATATTTACTTCCACACAAAGTTGCCATTGGTTTTAGGTAGCAGTCAGGTATAGAAAATTTTGTTAGGATTTGGTCTGATGAAAATTTCTTAAGTGTGTACACTTAGGGCTTTTTTTGTTTTCTGACTTTGACTTCAGTAATGTAGTCTTAACTCAGTCTTCTCTGATTAACAGTTTTTTCAGCATAGCCATTGTAATAATATTGCCTAATTCTTAGTCCTGTTTGCTTCAGAACACAGGCACTGACTTTACTGTTCAGGGCTTGGGTTTAACTTTACAGACATTTTAAAGGGAGTGGTGGGGAACTCTTCAATGGCTATGGGTGTCTGAGGTCTTCTGTCTGTAAGGTAATATCTTCCCTTCCCCTTGGGTTTCCATTGCTGGAACACTGGAGGTAGACCTACAAAAAGTTTGCTGAAAAGTTTTCCAAAGTAGAGTTATCCTGTCAGAACTGTCTATCCACACTTTGAGCCTTCAGAGCAAGTAAATACCAATTGTATTGTTACAACATCCCTGCCATCTGAAGTTCTCTGTGTGTGGACAATGGTACTGCTATTGGGTGATTTAAAACATTAGTGTAAAAGGGAAAAACATTTTCACTCGTGAGTGACATGATGTCTTTATCCAGTAATGACTTCCAGACACAAACACAGCATTTGTGTCTTATTTTTCCTTTCTCAAATTTCGGGCTTGTGTGACTGAATCAACCCACACAACAACCACAATGATGTATATCTGCATGGGCATTTTTTATTGTGTCATATTTACTGCAGTTATTTCCACTCTAAACAAGTCAAAATAGTTCCAAATTTGAACAAATATGAACTCTAATGAATCATCTATGAGTATTTTGCTCTGGAGGTATGTTACAGTTGAAAATGGTATTAGTAATTAATTATTGTCATTTGCAATTTTTAATCACAAAAAACACTGAACTACTAAACATTTCCTTAAAGTTAATGAATATTAAAGATACTTTACTTTGTCATTAATTACTTCTCAGGGTGTAAGTTCTTCATTACTTGTCCAAAAAAGTCGTCTTTTTTTTTTAATCAGACAACAGACTTTCACTGATTCCTTACTAAAGTAAAAGGAGTCTGTATCTCTGCACAAGCTTCACTGTACCCAGTATGCAAGCAGAACAGATAGAACATCATAGTAGTTACTGTCTTTTGTATTTTTCTTCTACTGATGTGCAGTAAGATGAAGCAAATTTGAACTTCATTTTCTCAATGTTCTCTTAAGTCAGAGGGACAAACAATGGAACTACTAGCCCACCATCTCAATGCTGCTTTTCTTTTAGCTGGGAAAAGCAGTATGTTTCTAGCTTTAGTCCTGAATCTCAGATGATTTGCCACAACAGCTGCTGAACTTCTTTTGCTTCTGATGGATGAAGAATCAGTCAGTCAGCACACTCAGACAGTTTCTCAGCTCAGCACTTCCCACTGAGAATAACATACTATTTCTTGCTCATCTTAGTAAATGCAGTTTCATCAAAATAAGAGTCTGGCCTCTTCTGAAGAGTTTTACCACTAGAACATATTCAGTCTTGAGTCCTACTAGGAAAATCTGAATTTATTAACATATACAGTATAGACAATTTTCTAGCCCTGTTCCAGTAGTACAAGCCCTAAGTAGCATCTCCCCTACCCACAGTGGTTCAAACCAACTTTACCACAGTCTTCGTAATACTGTAAAGAAACCCCAGTTGTGAATGTTTTTGCCCAGAAATCATTGTTGTCTTTGATATCCCAAATTATATTTTGGAGATGCCTCCATCTTGCCTAGCCTGGCTTCACAGCACAGGTGTCAGGAGCCCCAAAAATTCCAGCCTGTGTCATTGGGGAAAAAGGACTTTGAGAGGACAAGCAGGTTCCACTCATTCCCTCAGAGTATAAATATGAACAAAGTAAGATATGAGAAGGTTTAATAGTGCAAAAGGAAGTTACTGTGTCAGTCCTAGAGGGAGCTAGGAGACCAGCAGAAAACTTGGAATTGCTGCAGTACAGAGCTGACTGCTGTACAAAACAAAGATCTGATCACTTCATCATGATTCAGAGAGAAACACTCATAACATCTGGATAGAGGAGCCACAAAACGAGGCAGTGATGAAGAGTTTGCTCAGTAGGAGATCCTAGATGATGGAAACTTAGCATGAAACTTTGCAGGCATTGAAGCTTACTGAGGAAAGCAGCAGGGAAGAAAGCTGGGGCTGATAAACTAATGCATGGTTTGCTTAAATACCACTTCAGTACTCTTATTTTTTCTTCTAAACATGTTTGGATAAGGAGCAAAGATAGACATGGACAAGAAATACAAAAGAATTCATATTTTGCCATAGCAGGCAGAATAAACAGCCTAAACCAACACACTGCAAACAGAAAAAGGAATTTATTGAAACCAGTCCTTGAGCAGTCACATAAAATACAAGGAAATGGAGAATGTGGTCTGCAAGCAGTGCTGCACTGGACCTTCAGTCTTCTGAGGGAAGTCAAACTGTAAATATATAATGTAAGCATTAGTGACTGCTGCTTTTGTTTTCCAGTCTAAAAGCTGAAGTCCAAAACCCATCATTCAAAGTGGCAGTGGCAGAGCAGACTGGCTTTGAAAGCTGAGCTTTATGTTTTTTAGCAAAAATCAGCACAACTCGACCATTTGTGTAATAGGAAGCTGACCTTTTTGTAGACATTCCTTTTCTCTGCTAGCACAATCCTAAAGCTTTTTGGAGACAGTATTACTGAAACTTCTCCTGTGCATACGCTTTGAGGAAGGGCTGCCCTGCCTTGGTTCTCCCACAAGAATAGGATACTTCTTCCTCAGAGTAAAGAAGATTGAGGTCTGAGTATTTAGCAAGTTTATGGGTAAGATTCCAGAGTTGCTACAGGTGGTTTATAAGTTTAGCAATATCCTGTTACTAGGGGAATCCAATGTATGTCTTGCATAAATGTAGACTTTAGAAAATACCTTTCGTAAATATAAATTGCTTGGAATTATTCAACTGTTCTGAAGGTAGAAATTCCTGAAACAGATTTGCCCCACAGCAGATTATTGTCTCTATATATGTACATTTTTCTGGTAACGTTTTAGGGATTTTTTCTCTTTCATCTTTTCCACTCCTCTAACTTTTGTTGGTTCTTTTCCCAAACAATGCCAGTTTGTCTAGTTTATCAGTAGTCCTGGCTGGGAATCTCCCATATTAGCTAAAAGACTGATCAGGAAGGAAAAGAAACAAACCAGGGAAGACCTAGAGAAAAGCTAAAAGATTGGGGAGTCCATAGGAAATGTGCTAATCTCTTACTCAGCTTTCAGGAAACACAGTATTATGGAAGATAAGGAAGCAAAACAACCAAAGATATTCTTCCCCTTTTCCCAGCAGCCATCCTAGAGCCTAGGCAGAGGGTTCCCAAGATTTACAACTGATGTTGCTGCTCTCTGTCCTATGTGAATTTACCAGTGAAGAAAAAGTATTGCTTCTTGCTGCTTTCAGAAGTCCTCTACTCTTAAAGAAGTTACCATCCAGTGCCTGGTGGCAGTAATTAAGAGCCTGGTAGAAGAAGATAGCATCAGTAGCCAACAGAAGCTCCTATAGGAATGTCTTTGTTAGATTATTAGATGTGTGTTTGAAATTGTCCAGTGCACAGTAACACATGCCCTACCACCACTTCAAAGAAGCATGCCACAGGGCAAAAAAAAAAGAACTTAATAAAGGTACATCGTATGTTTTTCTTGTCCTTGTGTTGTTAGTTCAAAATATACTGATGTACTTCTTAGCTTCTATTAGATAGAAAGACTTGTATAGATATCTCAAAACTAGAGCTTGTGAACTGAGTTTAAATAAGCACTAAAATTAAAAAAATAAAGGGAAATGACTCTGTAAGATTTCCCTTTTGTTTCTTTTTCAAGAATTGTTATAGTTCTCATCATTAATCCTGATGAAGAAGTGAGGGATATGATTCACTTGTGCCCTTCTCCCTGTTGGCGGTGATATAACAACTCTGAATTCAGGACAATCATACCAGCAAAAATCTGCAATAACATATTAAAGCATCAGGTTTGATAGTATTGTTTGCTGTCCAAACTTCTTACCAGAGCTTCCGTTCAGATACCGCATATGCCATTTTCATATCTACAAGTATTTCTCTCAGTGTTTCCTATGGAATATTTTGGCAGCAAATCGTTCTTTTTAAAAAAGAAGTGTGCAGCATATCTAAAGCTTAACAACAAGGCCCTGAAACCATTGGCAAAAAAGGTGCACAGATATTGCCAAGTCAACAGGGTGCCAATCCCAAGAAGTTAACAAAAGTATTTTCCTTTTATACCATTATATCTGTGAATCCTCGCAAATAGTATTAGCTCAGACATTCTCCTTTCCCTAGAAATCACATAATCTTGAAGTAGATGGAATTATTTCTTTCACTACCTATTACAGACCCATAGGCTGCATCTTTCTTTGTGTCTCCATGTACTGGAATTAAATAATACCTTGGTAGCAGCTTACCTTTCTTAATACTCTTTCTCTGTTTCAATAATATTCTACAAATGTTTCCCAACCAAGTTAGTCATTACATCAGTTTGGGCCAAAAAGAATTTTCCTTCATTTGATCACCACCAAAAGTCAAAGCATAGTAGTCTTTTTTTATCATGGTTTGGGAAAGTTAAGGTTAACACTTTATTAAGTATTTAATTGAAATTTGACAATTTAATAATTAGTAAGTCTTCAGAGCATTATAACTACAGGGTCCTTAAAAAGGCAGACTCACAGAAATAGTGACCCCTATTATCACCACCTTCTGTGGCATGCTCTAGATTCCATGGTAAGAGGTCCTCTGCAGGGTGCTGTGGGAACCTTCTACTTCACCTTTCATCCAGCACTGCCTGTTTATGATAAACTGCATCATTGTTTTGTGCTGTTATGCCCAAGCCCTGCAGTTCAGATATTCCCATTAACCAGCTGGGAACAGCTGATGGGGAAAAGTAAGGCATGGTTTATGCTAATGTCAGACAAGTGGATGCAAGCCTTTGTAAGGAAGAAGTAAGCTGCACATCTCAGAGTGATAAAAATCTGCAGTGTTAGGCCCATATCCCTTCCAGAAGAATTGCATTGTTCCATAATAAGGCATCTTGGAAGTGATCTATTCTCATAGTTAAGAAACGGGAAACTTAATTTCCAGTCACAATGGATGTTGTTCCACTAACTACACTGGAGTTGTTCCTTATTTGCATACATATCCTGAAGTTGACTTCCATTACTTAGGATTTGGGCAGACGTCATTTCAGTTTTGACTGAAAGGCTCAGTTCAGTCTGTGATTTTCAGAACATGTGAACCTACAACCACATATTGCTAATTTAATATAGTGAATAGGTAAGAGATTTTAACATAATGTCTAATAAATGTTAAAATAATGGGTTAGAGCTGTCAGATGAAGGACCAAGTACTATTATGTCTCTTTTTTTCCCGTTTTCTCTTTTTTTCAAAGTCAACGCTTGGATACATTGCTCTGCTTATAAGTACTTTCCATGTACTGATTTACGGATGGAAAAGAGCTTTTGAAGAAGAGTATTACAGATTTTATACACCACCAAATTTTGTTCTTGCCCTTGTTCTGCCTTCCATTGTAATTCTAGGTAAGATCATTTTACTTTTGCCATGTGTAAGTAGGAAACTGAGGAGAATTCGAAGAGGATGGGAGAAAAGCCGTGTTATAGAAGAAGTAAGTGGGTCTGTTCCACATCTCTCCCCAGAAAGGATAACTGTAATGTGATGATATTTGTTATCACTGTTGTACACGTTTGGGTTTTTTTGTCATAAACTTGTATTTTTAGAAGTTAAGTAGGAGTAAAGTCACTTGCTTGGCATATGGTACAAGCTATGATACTACCAAACTATGAGAAGTTTATAACTGGATGACTATTACTTCTGATAACTACAAAAATATTTTTGTTTTGAATTACAGAGAGCAGACTATTATGAAATCAAAAAATTTTTAATGTTCCTTTCCACAGTAAAATCACAACAGTATTTTATTATAACTATGCTTTTCAGATACTTCTTTGACTTAGAGCATATGCGTCAGAGTGCTGTTTATTAATACCACATTTTCTGGGCAGTATTTCTTCTAGTAAAACCACACTTCTGTTACTGAGTTCAGAATATAGATAAATAATTTAGGACATAATCATGTTTTGAAATTAATTTGTAATGATCACAGAATCATATAATCACAGAACAGTTTGAGTTGGAAGGGACCTTAAAGATCATCTGGTTCCAACCTCCCTGCCATGGGCAGGGACACCTTCCAATAGACCAGGTTGCTCAAAACCCCTTCCAGCTTGGCCTTGAACACTGGCCAGGGATGGCGTATCCACAGCCTCCCTGGGCAACCTGTTCCAGTGTCTCACCATCCGTACAGTGAGGCATTTCCTCCTAATTACCAATCTAAACCTACTCTCATTCAGTTTGAATCCATTCCCTCTTGTTCTGTCACTACACGCCACTGCCCTCTCCAGCTTTCTTGTAGGCTCCTTTCAGGTACTGGAAGGCTGCTATAAGGTCACCCCTAAGCCCTTTCTTTTCCAGGCTGAACAATCCCAATTTCCTCATAGGAGAGGTGCTCCATCACTCTAAGCAACTTGGTGGCCCTCCTTTGGACTCGCTCCAACAGCTCTTTGTCCTTCCCATGCCAGTGACCCCAGAGCTGGATGCAGCTTTGCAGGTGGTGTCTGTAGAGGGACAGAAATCACCTCCCTTCCCCTGCTGGCCACACTGCTTTTGGTGCAGCCCAGGACACAGTTGGCTTTCTGGGCTGTCAGCCCACATTGCCAGCTCATGTCCAGCCTCTCATCCACCAACACCCCCAAGTCCTCAGCAGGACAGCTCTTGATCCCTCCATCCCCCAGCCTGTATGGATACCAGCGGTTGTCCCAACCCAGGTGCAGCACCTTGCACTTGGTCAAGTGTATTGCACATGTACAGTTTATTTATTTCTTTGTGGTTTTACACCATTCCGTGATTTGAATATGCAAACCCAGTTTCAATTATGGTGTGATTGTACATCTTGTAAGCAAATGGTATTGTACTAGTAGTGTAAATTTTTTTCAAAGTATTACATAGGATTTTAGACCTTTGGCATCTCTTTATTTACATGCATTACATAAAGAAGACTCAAAACATGCTATACAATTATAGAAAGATACGTGTGCAAGTAACTAGTTTTTGATTTTTGAATGATTTTGAAATATCAGGAAATATTTTAAAAACAAAAAGAAAAGCTGAGAATTCAGCAACAATAAAAATCCATTTTCACTGTGAAACTTCCAATATGTTGGAAGCATCACAATACTCATGTTCTGTATGTGTCTACACTGGAGTTTCTGTTATTACATATGAATTTCCCAGAGTGTGTCTTAAATTCTTAGTATCTTTTTGTGCAAATCCAATCTTCTATTTTTATATAAAGGTCTAACTTTTACAATGAGTGTCTCTGGAATATGCCTGAAGTTTTGAGAAACAAAATTATTATTCTTATACTTAAAAATTAATTTATCTCTAAAACTTGGCATTTGCATTTCCTGATGGATTCTAAATGACATTCACAATTATTTATTACTACTGCTGTCAGTAGTAATTACTCTTCTCTAACAAAATAGCCAAACTCAACTCATACCTTCAGGCTACTCCTGCTTAATTGGCAAAACTTTTATTTCAGTGGATCAGATTGTGTATTTAGTCCTAATTTTCTTTACTTGTATGAAAGTCTATTTTTCTTATCTATATTTGCACTGTTTAAGATCTCTGATTTTCTTAGATGAACCTTCATTTATTATTTATTACTTTGAAAGAATTTGTCATAATCGATATCATACATCAGAAATATACAGTACTTAAGCTTGAATTTATTCTTAAACATCACTAGTCCTGTAATCTCATTATCTCTGCCTGTAGAGAAACCAACAGCTCCACAGAAAAAGAATATTCTAGAATCAAACTCTGCCCCCAGTTACACCAACCTAAAGCTAAAGAGTTCACGTCAGTTGTTCTTAATTTCATTTCAAATTCAAAATATCGGCAACAATTTTATTTTCATTCTAGTGTCCCAATTACCCAAAGTTGCACATCAAGCCTGTGTATATTCTGTATACTTGCTGCAAATCAAGAGACAGTGGAATATTCTTTAATTTTAAGCATGTTCAAATCTAGAGATGAAAACTAAAATATTTGCATTCTTTTTTTCCAGAATTAAAGCATTTGTATAAGTCTTTAAACATGTTTTGTATCAAATGAGAAGTCAGTAAATTCTTTTTGAAAATGGAGGTTTGTGAAAACATTTTTTTAGGGAAAAAAACCCTCACTATATGTTACATGTGTCAACAGAAATTTAATACCTGTTTCAAATCACAAATTTTCAATTTCAAACAGTTGGAAAGCTCAGATTTATCCTCCTTTATAAGCTTCGAGGATGGAATCAATTGGAATAAAAAAAATAATTTTATTTCACCATTTTTTGAAAAGTAAATGATAATAACAGATATAATTGGTCAGGTGAAGGTCTTTGAGACTTGTCTCCAATAGCTGACAAGTAGCAGATGTTTCCAAAAAGAAAGCGTGTGTCCAGTGACTTTTTTTCCTGGGATAACCTCTCAGCCTCTTGGAATTCAATAATTTAGGAGTTATTTGAGACAGGTGCTGCCTCTGAATTACGGTATTTCATAGGTATGTCGTCCAAAAATTTATCAAACCTTTTAAAAAATTTTAAAGTTTCCCATTTTTTTACAGAAAAATAAAGAAAAAGGAAAAAAAAGTTCAGTAAAACTATCAAATAAATAAAGAATGTTTGCATTCTTTATTTTTTACAAAACCAAATGAGTTTGTTTCAGGGTACTTATTTTATTGTTTCTCCTCCAATATGCAGCTATTTCAGTGATGCTTTGCTGGTACACGAGTACAGTACTATTTTATCAAACATTCTAGACATTAAGTGAAAAACCTGTCACTGCTAAAGACAGATGAGACCCTAAACCAGTACAAATGAGATTTTCACATAAGAATGAAGAACAAGTGACAATTACAATTTCTAACTTACTTTGTCTGTAAATACATTCCAGTACCAGAAACTGTCTATTTCTTGAAAGGCTTGCAGGATTGAAGTTCCTGGACTGTTTCCTACTCCATTATTGCAGAGCAAAACCACAAAAAGTTGAGGCATTGTGCTTCAATCCTTTAAATAAAGTTTATTTAAAAAGCCTTAGAATACACAAAGTCTTGGAGAATTTTAATGGGATAAATACTGTGCTACATTCTAGTCCAGTCCTGTGCATGAAACCTGATTAAAATCACTAGAATGGGATGGTATAACTGACAGCAGAATTTTGTTCCTCTGAACAGATTTAAGGAAGAAACTATTACCGTTAACAATCTAACTACATTTCAAAATTAATTATGCTGCTCTTCTTTTATAGTAATTTTACACTTCTGTGGAATGTGTAGTAGTGTAGTAATGTTCCCTACACTTATCTAATTATTTTGGTGCAATAGTGATAATGTTGCAGAACTAAGATATTGTTCTAATTGAAAATTACTGTCAGAGTCCATATATATTGTACTGTAACGCAACCACTGACAGTATATACAGAAATGTATTGGCCCTCTTTCCTATGCAAAAAGTTATTTCCTCATTAAATTTCTTCAAGAATGTTTAAACTGTTAAATTTTAAACTGCCAAAGGTGTCTGGAGAGAGTAATGATGTGTCATTCCTTTTTTCAAACTGTGCGTAGAAAATTAAAAATGTGTTTTAATTTTATATGTTACTTGAAAGGTTGAAATATTGAAGTATTAATAAATAGATAATATTTTTAGATCAAATATATGAAGACATTTTGTGAAATATTTGTGCTACAAAAATTATATATGATTTCCTGATAGGCCATGTATTTACTTCTAACTGGAATAACATGTTGACTTGTGATTTAATATTTTGTAGTGTTCTTTAAGGACCAATTCACTTTAACAAGACACTGTTAAGTCTGAAGGTAAAATGACGCTCACGTGTTTACCACACATTGTATCATGCTTATGTTTAGTCACAAAAGGGATCTTTATTCATGTGACCAAACACATTGATCTCTATAGAAGAACTTACCTTAGGACTTCTCACTGGAAAAAGACCTGAGACTTAATTGTTTAGTTTCGATTGCCTAAATATAAACAACTAAATTAATGTAGACATCCTAGTTACTTAGGAGAATAAATACCTATTTTGAGGAATAGCCAGCTAGAAAAATATTTTTGTGTAGCTTTATATAAATTGCTTAACTGCCTGATGAAAATAAGCAATTAAATAAGCTTTATTTCTATTCATTACTGTACATTTAAAAACATAGTGCTTAATATGTGATACAAAACTGTACACGTCATATTGTAAAATGGAGACCTCTATGTATTTAGCAACAGGTTATGTTTTCTATGGATATTAAGGTATTCTTTCTTAACATTGTCTAAAGTAGACATGTGTCTTTAATTTATCTTACAATTCTGTTAACTGTGGCAACTGTGTACCAGTTAATTAAGTACCCATCTTCCTGAATTATTTAGAGATTAATTATTTGGTAACTGTTTTACAAGTTCTCTCAGTTGTGGTAATGGTTACTGTGAATTGGTGCCACATTTAACTTTTTGTTCCAACATTGTGAATTATATGATGTGCAAACATGAGAAAGGACATTCATATTTTTATTTGGCATCAATTGCCTATAAAACAGTGTGCCTGTATGTTTGTGTCTATATGGTATTAGCTGCCCAACTAGCACTAAAGGAAATTATTGATTAATATAAGGTAATAAGTTCCCAAGTGGGTATAAATTTCACAGGTATGAATATAGTTAAGAAGCAGCTTTCTTCTCAAAGTTAGATATATCAGGTGCATAAAAATTAGATAGATTTTTTCAGTATAATATTTTCGTATATGCAGTGGTAATGGATGGACAGTGCATCTCCTAATATACAAGGGTTTGATTTCTTGGCTGTTCATCCTGTAGTATCTTCTGTCAATATAATGAGTAATGTTGCAGTACTGATATTGAATTGTTATATGATACTGCTTTAATTAATTAGATAACAGCCTTTAAAATAAGTGACACATTGAACTGACTTGAACAATGATCTCTATCATTATATATTTTTTCTCATGCCTTGCTGGCAGTGTCTTACAGTGAGCATAATATGTCTCCCATGTGTAATACTCTTTTTGTAGTTGTGTTTGTCAGACTGTTTGTGCTGT